CACACACACACACACACACACACACACACACACACACACACACACACACACACACACAAATCCTGACTTGTCAGAAAGTTCCTGATTACCTGCAACACAAGTTGGCTACTTTCCAAATGTGTACAACCAGTCATTTCCATACATGTTACATAACTTTATCATGTTACACAACCACATCACGTTACACAACCACATGCATGTAGGAGAATCAATGTGGCTCATTTATAGAACACAAGCCTGACAGCAAAAAAAAAAAAAAAAGTATTTACTAAAACTGTAAATGTGTGTTTTTTATTAATTTTTAAATAAAGACATCTTTTAAAAAAGAGAGAAATCAGCTAAAAAATGTAAACACTGAGCACTGAACCATTTTGATCAAATTTGTTGACAAAACTAAAATTGGTTCTTAAATAACAAACTGAAGTAAAATTAGCAAAACAAGAGCAAAATGCTAAAGTAGCTGGAAGCTAAAATGAACAAAATGGTAGGTAAAAATATGCAGCACTGTACTATAACAAGCTAAAAGTATGTTCTTGATAGCTGAATGCTAAAACCATTTAAACATTAATTACAAGTAAGAAGTAGTTAAGTCATAGCAACATAAAATCTAAAATTAGCCATTTGTTACCTAAAAGCTTAAACTAGCAAAACTGTAATCACAAGCTAAAAGTATCAATCAGCTAAAGGCAAACGGCTTCAGAACGGTGGCTAAAACAAAACAAAAAAGCAGAATGGTAGCTAAAATTAATAGATCACTTACCAAAGCTAAAGTAGAAAAATAGTAGCCAAAAGCTTCAGAAAGTCAAAAGCAACAAAACCCTCACTGAAAGATAAAATTAGCAATACATGAGCTAAAAAGGGTGAGCGTATCAGAATGGTAGCAAAAAGCTAAAATCATGAAAATACATTAAAGTTAGAAGTAGCAAAATATTTGCATTATAAAAGCTTAAATTAGCAAAACTATAATCACAAGCTAAAAGTATCAGATAATTAGCTAAAAGCTTTAGAATAGTAGCTAAAATAGATGAATGCTTGCTAAAAGTAGCAAAATGATAGCTTGATGCTATAAGTAGCAAAAATGTAACACAAACTAAAACTAGCTTTGTAGCCAAAAGCTTCAGAATGGTAACTAAAAGTTAACAGCTGAATGCTAAAATTAGCAGAACATAAGCTAAAAGATAAAAGTAGCAGAAATCTAATCAGAAGGTGAATGTATCAGAATGGTAACTAAAATTAGAAGATAGCTGCTGTTTTGCTAGCAAGCAAACAGCTAAAAGTAGCCGAATGGAAGCAAAAAGAAGTAAAACATAAGCTAAAATGTAAAAGCAACCGGAAAAAAATACGCTATCAGTTTTACAACAGTTTGAAACAAAAGAAGAAGACATCATTTTTGCATTGTTTTTGTTGTTGTTGTTGTGGTTCCTACCCGCTCCAGGTTCTCCAGGGGGTTCTCCAGGTGCAGCAGGTTCCCCAGGACAGGCAGGGTGAACGGCCCTGGAGGGAAGTTTTTGGGCCTCCGAGGTTTGAGTTGGAGGAAAACGAATAAAAGGCAAATCAACAACAGAACCACTGAAACAAACATGATGCTGGTTCTGGTTCTGATGGGTCCAATAGAACCAGAGTGGCTCTGTGTTCTTAGTCCAGCCTCCTCTTCTTCTTCGGCTTTGTGCTGCAGTCCTTTGTCCAAACATGTGCCAATAAACACAGTGACATGTGCCAATAAACACAGTGACATGTGCCAATAAACACAGTGACATGTGCCAATAAACACAGTGACGTGCAGACTGGTTCTGAGCATGTGTTTACAAATCTGATAAATTCACTTGCTGCACAGAGTCTGTACAGATAACAGCTGAAAGGATCACAGAAACAAGGACAGGTTCATTTCATCTTTATGCAGTAAATAAAACACAAACTCCACATTAAAATAGAGTCATAAAAAGCAGAAAGAAGTGATGAGTCAGCATAAAGGTTCAGTTTAATCACTTAATCACTGACAGATGTAATAAAATTAATTTTTATTATTTATTTGTTGCAACAATGCTACTTGGTAATAAATCTGTTGGAAGGCCTGTTAAATTCACTTTTAAATGGTGCCAGATGTGTAAGGAACATGCATTTGTGGGATGAGCAGCAGAGCTGAGTGTGTGGGTTGTGCACAAACAGCTGATTTTACTCATTGATTGATTAATCTCCATCCCCTCCATCCTGAGGGTCACTAGGATCCTGTTAGTCTGGATTACTTGTTGATTAATCTCCATCCCCTCCTTCCTGAGGGTCATTAGTATCCTGTTAGTCTAGATCTCTAGTTGATTAATCCCACTCCCCTCCTTCCTGAGGGTCATTAGGGTCTCTGTTAGTCTGGATCACGTGTTGATTAATCCCCCTCCCCTCCTTCTTGGGGGTCATTAGGATCCTGTTAGCCTGTATTACTTGTTGATTAATCTCCATTCCCTCCTTACTGAGTGTCACTAGGATCCTGTTAGTCTGGATCACGTGTTGATTAATCCCCCTCCCCTCCTTCCTGGGGGTCATTAGGATCCTGTTAGTCTGGATTACTTGTTGATTAATCTCCATCCCCTCCTTCCTGAGGGTCATTAGGATCCTGTTAGTCTGGATTACTTGTTGATTAATCTCCATCCCCTCCTTCCTGGGGGTCACTAGGATTCTGTTAGTCTGGATTACTCGTTGATTAATCTCTATCCCCTCCTTTCTGAGGGTCACTAGGATCCTGTTAGTCTAGATTACTTGTTGATTAATCTCCACCCCCTCCTTCCTGAGGGTCATTAGGATCCTGTTAGTCTGGATTACTTGTTGGTTAATCTCCATCCCCTCCTTCCTGAGGGTCATTAGGATCCTGTTAGTCTGGATTACTTGTTGATTAATCCCACTCCCCTCCTTCCTGAGGGTCATTAGGATCCTGTTAGTCTGGATCTCTTGTTGATTAATCCCATTCTCCTCCTTTCTGAGGGTCATTAGGGTGTCTTGTAACCTGGATGACAGGAAGATGCATTAGGCATCAGTTAGAACTGACTGGGTATCAGGCTCACCGCTCGGCTTTAGGAAGCTGAAAGCTAACCGTGTGGCTCCTGGGTCGAGACTTGCATCTGGAGAGGCTGCTCAGGCCTGCAGCTGGATGAGATCCAGGTCTAAAAGCTGAAGAGTTGCTGGTTCAATTCCTGCTTCCTCAACTACAGCACCTCTTTGAAAATGATAATTTATCCTAACAGAACCATTCCGTTAATAAGATTCTGTTAAAAAATTAAAATAACTTAACTAATATGAATTTATTTGAAAAACTGAGTTTGAGTTCATCTGAGAAGATCAAAAGATGCTTTTATTTGTCAAGGGGTTCCAGTCCTGGTTCTGGAGGACCACTATCCTGCAGGTTTTAATGGTTTTTCTGCTGCAACACACAGAGAAACCAGTTCCCACAGAACCAGAACAAGGATCAGGACTGGGTTTTTTTTTAGAAACTTAACAGATATTTGGAGGTGAATCTGGGACAAGAGCTCCATCTGCTGTTAACCTACCAACAGACTGTTAAAGCTTTTCATTCTGTAGTGTCAGGTCTGAGGACCAGCCTCCACTGAAGACCCTGATATCAGAGGAACAAATGCTCCCAGTAAAGCTAAAACTCTGGAAACCAGTGGCTCTTTACACCTCAGTGTGAACAGGAAGCTGTGGTTTGTAAAGGGATGGATCTTCCCGAACATGAGCATCACTGGATTCCTCAGCTTTGCATCACGCTGACCCACATTCACACGTTTAACCACCTGATGATTTCATCCCACCCAGCTGGAAAAGAAAACAATAACTGCTACAAATCAGTGAACTTTACAGGTCAACTTGTTGTGGCTGAAAGTCAACACATGCTTTAATGAATTCTCCACTTTTAATTTAAGACTGAATGTTTGTTTTTATTTTTTTAATATGTCTTTAAGCAACATTTAGTTTGAAATATGTAATAAAATGACCAACTTTAATCTGCTTTTTTCCACATACTGAAAACTCAAACTTTAACCTCGTTAATCTGTAAAAGTTTAAAAGCTGCCGTTAGTTTGGATCATCAGATGCTTTAGGATTATTTTTACAGAACCTGTCGTCCTCTTAGACATGAAACAAAAAACTGTTAGACTAATTAGTTCAGATTCCTTTTGGCTCCTGAACCCCCGTCTGTCTGATAAGATGTCAGAGTGTCTCAGATTTTCTCCTTTAAACATAAAATTTTTATGCTTTTTTTATTTATACAAACACCCCTGTGTGTCTCACACACACACACACACACACACACACACACACACACACACACACACA